GTTTATGCAATTTATTCAGCACGTTGTAGTGCTCGTGTAATATCTACTGTGCATAGCTAATCTGGCTGAAATTACTCCAACAGCTTACATTTTGTCCAAATGTAAAACATGGTGTGAAATCATCTCTTTCTGAAGAGCAGTTTCCCAGTCTTGGGGTCCTACCTGAACAATACCTTGTGTGACTATGGAGTACCTCAATGGTATCGTGAGTTACCATCTGGAGTCTCTGTCAGGCAGTATTGTTATTTTGTTGAAAGAAGAAAAGACCTCCTTGACCACAGAACTGTCATCCTTCTCTTTTTGCCACTGTGTACACCTGTCCCTCAGCCCAGATCCTTCTTCCATAATATATTACAGATACTAAAAGCATGCCTGTATTCTGAAGGGTGCTTGCTTTAAAGAACTGTTTCTTGTTCCTCCACGTCACAGATGTGTAGTGAGTCGGTATATTTGTGTCTGAAGACCATATTTTCCATCACTTCAAATGCCCACGTTGTGATCTGTGTCACCAAACTGAATAAAGGCCAATCCCTGTAGCAATCAATTACTGTGGAACTACACAGTAACACAGGTAGCTGAGATTATTTAAAAGAGGACAAGGGACTTCAGACTGCATGTGAAGTGAAAACTACTAACCACAGTAGGCTTTCTGTTACTTTGGTGGTTTTTAATATTCTGGTGTGTTCTGCAGCCATTCTCACAAAGGGGGAGACAGGTGGATGAAGTTCCTCTCACTAAATAATACTTTTTCCATAGTGAAGTAATTGCTCTTGGCCTTTTAACCAGAAAAAAAAAAAAAACCTTAATTTAACCATCTCTTAAGAAAATAGAAAGGGCTTGACATAATTAGAACACTGGGTTGGAGAGTACTAAAAATAATTTGGGTTTTTTTTTTTTTGTTTAGTCATTTCAGAAGGTTTTAAATGACTTTTTTTGATATCTAGAGATGTCAACTTTTAACTAAAGAGCATTCCTAATCTACATGAGTTTGAAAAAGTGCTGGGAAATCCAGGCTGGCCTTTTCAGCAGACATTACCTTTTAGCTACTTGGGAATGTGTCACCCTGTGAGCATTACAGTGCTTGTGGGATTGCCCTTGATGTGAACATCATTGTCTCTGCTTCAGACCAGCCTCTTTCCCCAAGCTTGTACCTGAAAATTGCCCTTCTGTCCAGCTGGAGTGTTAATATCCCAGCCTTCAGGGAGGCAGAGCTCTGTAGGGTGGGTTGAGGTTGTTGGTGTTGATCCCAAATTCTGAATGTTAGAAGCTGCAAGTCTGATGCCATACAGAGCCACCAATTGTTCCTTTCAGGACTTCCCATCTGGACTCTTTGCCTTCCATGGGCCTGCTGCAGGTCATGGGCTGCAGGGTAGATGCAGTGGGGTCAGAGGCTCAGATGGGAGAGCTGGGAATGGGAACTGTCAGAACTCATCATAGGAAGGCGTTGGTGATGACTGCAGAATGAAAGAAAACTTGGGAGAGGGTGAGAGTACTTGAAGTTTGGGAAGACATTAGTTTTTAAAATATATATTGGTTAAACTTGCTGGCTTTGAGCTCCTGAAGCAGTGGCTGAACAGGAAGCTCTGATTTAGGCAAACAGAAGTAGACATCTCTGACCAGCAGAGATGGCCAGTTGCTGCCATCAATATTGTTGCTCATTGGTTTGAGAGGAAGAAAGAGGACAAGTTCTGTATAGAGAGTGTGACCATATATTGTATTAAAGGACTGTGTAGGTATGCTCTAATGATGCAGCTTCACACTGCAGCTGATTAATTTGGCAGCTGCTTTCCTCTGGTAGAGGTGGTCACCATTTCCTTGCCTGTTGCTGATACTGGGCTCCTTCCTCCTCGATGTTTGATGTTGATGTTTGCAGAAGCCAGTTTAGAGAGTTCAGACAGGCAAAAAACTAAGCTTAAAACAGGGTAACTTAGAGCTTCCCAAGGCAGTTCAGTATGGAAAAACAAGGAAGGAGGGAAGTCTCCCTTCTGGCCCTTAGATTAGCTTTAGTAAGAAAAATCCCCATCAGGCTGGGCTTCCATGGGCAGCTGGCAGCTGGAAGGTTGTGCTCCTGGTAAAAACTAATTGTCCTGCAATTCCCACTCTGTTTCAGCCATGGCTGTGAGCTGGATCTTACTCTAATTTAGAAGAAGCTTCAATGTCCATGCTGTGGCCACCAACACACACCCAAACCCTGCAAACTCCAAATCCAACAACCCAAAAAAAGCACAGCACAAATAATCTGCAAGTTTTGAACCTTACTCAGGTTGTAATGAGCCTGTAGCCTCTACTGTACAACTGCTCTGCTTTGTTTGCAAGCAGCTGATGGTGTTGTTGCCCTGGCAGGAATGTATGGAATCAAATTTTTTAGCAACAACAGGTAGTTTGATCAGTTGATGCTGACTGAGAAACAGAAAAGTTAGATGGAGTCCAGAAAATAATAAGATTTCAGTTTATTTACTCATACTATACACAGCACTTCTCAGGATCTCTGCACAGTGCTGGGGCTGTAATGGTGGCCTTCACCTCTTTGAAACAAAACCAAAGTTCATCATGACTTTCTTCACCAGAGTTTTAGTGCATTTTTTATTAAACTTTATTAGGATAGCTTGACTTTCAAACTAATTGAAACACTACTGTTTGTCTTCTTTCCAAAAATACTTTATTTTGAATATTGCAATCACTTAGCTAAGAGAGGGAGTAATTAAAGTTATTCTCAAGTTGCACAATTTAGTTTATTTAAAAATGCTTTATATAGTTTTTAGATGAAGTTATAAATGTTCACTTTGGAACTACCTGAAGATTAATAGTGATGCATTTGAAATGCATTATTTTTTTATTGATTCTTAATGTAGTAAATTACTGAAGTTATTTGGCAGCAAACAGAAATAGCCAGTGATGTTGTTCACATTTATTTTCCTGATAGCATCACAATTTGCATTAATTGCATTGCAGCTGCACTCACTTATATTAAAAAGCTTCTACCATAATTAATCCTTTTTATTTCAAATCATTTTGGCACAATTTCTAGCAATAAACACTCATAAAAGACAGACACTTGAAAAATAACGTACAAGTTTCTTCAATATACCTATTGCTGTTTTTTTCCTGACAAGGAATTATTGATAGGCTTCTAGGATCAAGTGTTGCAAGTGGTGAAGACTTAAGACCAGTTTGAAAAATGCTAAGTGGATTATTTTGCATAAAAAATAGACAGGTTTTGAATTTGTGTAATTAACCTGTGTTTAGAAAATACCTTGATTTATGTCTACATTTGTATTTCAGTTGCATACATTATGGAAATTTAATTTATAATCCATTTAGCTGATGTGATCATAGTTTTTAGTGCTATCATTTATTAGTCCTTGTATATTGAATGCTCTAAAGGCTTAAACCTGCCTTGTGTAAAAAATTACACCTCTGCATTTACATTTTATGAGTCACAGATGGAATTCCATTTTAAATTCGGGTAGCTTTGATATATTTAAGGAATTACAATAGCTTTATTGTTACTAATGCAGGAACAGCAAACACTGACCTTACACATTGCAAATTAATGATTTATCCCTCTAGTTTGCTTTTAAAGTCAGCTATACAAATGAGGATTTTGACTTCTACACCTTGAATAAATCATATGGCTCTAAATATAATGCACCCTTTGGCTTTGAACTCGTTATTCTCAGGTTTTTTTGCAAGGTCTAACTTACCTCATAGAAAAATGTTCTTTCAAAAGTTTAAGGAATTGTGTATATTTTTCTTAAAGTCTTTGTTGGAATATCATTGAGTGATTAGAGCTGCATCTATTAATCTTTTTTCAGTTTTCTTTTTTTTTTCCCCTCAGTGGGATTCCTTTTCTAAGTTTGCAGCAGATTATGAAGGAATTAAGTAACACCAAAACTCTGTTCCTAGAGAGTTAAAAGGGAGCAAACAGTGATATTACAATGATGTTGTGTTGGTGATGCCTTGTCTGATCAGCCTGGCAGTGATGTCAATGTTCTGTAAAGATTTGGTTGTCATTGCTAGAGATGCTGATGTGGCAAACAGGGTGGACAACGAGAAAGGCAGAGGCAGCATGTGCCAGGAATGGATTCTATTAAAGCAAGGTCCTTTATTCAGAATAGCTCTGAAGGATACACCTCACATTCATCTGAAAGTTACCATAAGTACTTTTTTCTTCCAAGCAAGCAGTTGTTACTGACTTAATAAAAAATAATGCAAAGATACTTTGCATTACATGGAAATGTGCTCATACAGTAGATGAACCTAGAATGGTGCTGCTGGAGTTTGAAAATTTTTGGGGATAATTTGAGTTTGCAGTCAAAAGATTTGGGTTAGGTACATGTTTAATCAGCTTTTGACACCTGTAGCAGGGTCAGGCACAGAAAGGATTGGACCTGTGACACAGCCAGAACTGGTAAACTCTTGGCTTGGAAACGAGGATTGTTTTACTGTGGAATTCACCAAATGTGCAGCCATGAATCTGTAACATGCACTGGATAGTTTTTATTAGTTTAAAATGCACTGGGTTTACAGAGTTATTTTAAGGGGATTAGGGGGATGACAGTTCTGCATGTAGTGATTGATGTGGATGGAATAATGCTGCTTGTGATGGTGCTAATGGAAGTAGAGGTGTAAGCTTACTTTGTATAAGACATTCTTGATGCAGTTATATTGTCCTTTAGCAAACCTTGCTTTTCCTGAAAATAAATGCAATTTGGATAAGGAGTAATGACAGATAAACAATGAATTTTGCATTTTAAAACACAACATAATTAATTTGTGAGATTTGGGACCTTGGTATTTCACAAGAATATTCACATTTCAAATTTTGGATGAATATTCTTAAATTTATACACTATTTGAGATATTTCCATGCCAGAAGAACCTACTCAGACTTCAAATTAAGACAGAATTACTCAAAAGTTGAGAAATTCAATAACCTTCTGAATTTCTGCATGTACTACAATAGAATCTAATGTGTTTTGAATTGCTTTATTTTTCAGGCTCTTTATGAAAATATGCTGGTGGAGCTGCCATTTGCTAGCTTTTTCCTCTCAAAATTATTAGGGACAAGTGCTGATGTTGACATTCATCACTTAGCTTCACTAGATCCAGAAATGTACAAAAATTTGCTTTTTCTAAAGAGCTATGAAGGGGACGTGGAAGAACTTGGACTAAACTTCACCGTGGTCAATAATGACCTTGGGGAAGCGCAGGTAAGAATGGATTTGAGTTTTTTTTTCTTTCATCTATGACTGATGAATCTTTACTATCACTACTAAATTTTTTTAATTTAAATGTAATGGGAAATAATTGTTAAAGGTGCTGTGAGGCATCAGTTGGGATTATTACTCAATATTTGGAGTGGAGAGTAACTAACTGTATACTTAAGAAATAACTTTTGATGATTACTTAAAGGTCTGGTCTTTTAAGGAGTAAACGGCAGTGATTATTTTCTAACAGTCATACATACAAAGTTCTATTGCCTAAGAATGTTTCTTGAACAAAAATGTCTTGTATCTTCAGTTGCACTTGTAATAATAGTAAAGTTTAGATGATGTGTAAACTACAGAAGTGCTGCCTGGTGTTAAAATGACAGTTATCAGTCAGAGAGGTTTTAAATAATACTGATAGTAAAGACCCTTTGTTGTGAGATAAGCATTTTCTCCTTTATCTGTAATTTTCAAAGTAAGAGAGCCTGAAGTTTGACCAACCTCAAATTTTTTTTTTTTTTTTTTTTTACCCCCTGCCCTTTATTTTAGGGGTTGAGATACCAGATTAGTCAGAGGGGATAACTGCTGTTCAGTGCTTCTGAAAAGCAATCCTTAAGTCTGAGTTTTTAATGCAGTTGCACCATATAATTTGATTACAGCTTTTATTTGCTCTGTTGTGTCTACTAAAGATCACTCATAGTAGAAAATAAATGTCACTAGAGCTCTAAAAGCCTGCCTTAGTGTGTTAATGCAGGTAACCTCCTAGGTAAAGTCTTTTGTCATGCTTCCTCTTTCAATTTTGAGGATTTAAAATTGAAGATTTTAAACTTCCACTTGATTATGGCACATAATTGTATGAAAAAAAAGTAGACTTGACCACGCTGTGTTAAGCAGCAACATCTTAATTCAGCCTCCTGTTGTGAGGCAGAAACAGACTCCAGGAGGGACTGAGCAGTGCTCTGGGTTTGCTGCTCAGGGGGGCCAGGACTGTGCACATTTCCAGAGCAGCAGCACCACTGAGATGCAGTCACCTGCCCTGGAAACTGGGAGCTTGAGTTCTCTGAGGCTGCTGAAGTCATGGCAAGTTTGCTTGAACAGTGTCAGGCTTGGATTTTATCTTACTCTTCTGTCATCAGTTTCCTGTCATTTTGGAAGATCCTAAAATCTGGATTGGATTAAATTTTAAAATAGTACCCTCACATTTGGGATTCCTAAAGCACAGTAAAGAGAGAGGCAACAGTTGCCTGATATAAGTAACATTTAATATTAAACATACGCCATATGTCATTTTCCTCCCTGGATTATACTCCCTATATGAAAACATCTGACCTGCACTGTGTTTAGAAAAACACTCAAAAACATGAGATAAAGATATGATACAGATCAGATCTTGGCACAGAACTTCTCCAAGAGCACATTTTTGGAGTGCCTGTACCATGTGCTGGTACTGAACTGAGGTCTGTAGCACCCAGAGGTTGGGTTCTGGGGAGCAAAGCACATCAAATGGCAATTTCCAGTATTACCTGGGATTTTTAGCAGTGGGAGGAAGGTCTGAATTCTAAAACTGTTTATTTAATTCTGTTTAAAGTAATAGCTTTGTTGGTCACAGCTAACACAAATCCAATTTAGTATCTAAAATGAGGGCTATGGCTGCTGTTTTCAAGACTTCTGATTTGTAGTTGTTTGGCATAACTTTAAAAGGAAGATTTAGTATATTAGTGAGTTGCTGAGTAACAAGATGAAATGTAAGCTAAAATAAATATTCTGATGTTGGTTTGCTGTTTTTATACTTGAAGAGAGAACATTCTACCCACTATCAGCCATCTTTTTATGAGGCTCACTGCCTGTTAGGTGTAGTTCAACAGAACCCATTGGTTCTTGTCACTGTTGCCTTTCAGTGCAACAAGTCTCTTTCTATCCTTCATTTCATTACCTTAATAAACCTCATATGGATAAATACATTTTATCTGCTATTTGACTTGTAACCATTGCATACTAATTCATTGTGCCAAGGTAAGGCTAATTCACTTTGAGAAAAGAGCTTAATTTGCACTCCTTATGTTGAATGTACATTATATGTAGTTTTCAGCTAAACAACCACTTTAGTGTTTAATAAATTAGGGCCCAATAAATGCATCATAAATCTATCATTGTAAATAGCTCTGCTCATGACAGTGTCCATCCACCAATTGTGCCACAAAAGCATTATCTGCAATGAAAGACACATTCAAAAGAGGCTCTATTGCCTCTGTCAGTAGTAGAAGGTAGAAATTCTATTATCAGTGTATTGATTCCAATCCTGTAATGTGCTTTTAGACCCCATTAAACTATTGTCAAAGTGCATTCACCAGAAGTTGAAAAAGGTACTTAATAATTTGCACATTAGACCTGCTAATTAGGGGAGCTATGCCATCAACCTTATCTTCCAACCCCAAATAGCTTTTGATAAAGATCTATCTAATGCAGTGATACCAGCCTGCATTTCAGCTGTTGGGTCTCCTGCAGAAAATGGTGGCCAGTAGCAAAGTCTCAGAGGAGGTCAGCCTGTGGTTGCAGGTCTGTATATTGATTTAGTTTTTCCTTTTATCTTGTAGATGAGATGGCTATGAAAAGTTTGTAAGAATAAGGTTAGCAAATTCTCTTCTCAGACCTTCCTCCCTCCCTTTTTTTCAGTGAGGAAGGCAAGTTTTGTGGCTGTCCAGGGCAAGAGGGAGATGTAAATACTCATTCCTCTTCCTTCAGAAATGTTGGATGCTGTACTTCAGAAACTCTGCTTGAGAGTATCAGTCTCAAAACACTGATACTTGAGATTACATGGATCACAAATTAGGTGTGATCAGAAGATTGCATAAATAAAGTGTAAAAGCACAAATCCACAGAGAAGCACTATGATATATATGACAGCAGTTTCTATGAAACCCATCTCGTACAGAACTTGGATTTGGGACACCTTGGTCTTTTTAAAAAGGTGTGAATGCCATTGCTGTCACTGAAAATATGCTGACTCATCAAAGGGGAATTCTTTGCCTTTAAATTTCTTTGAGGGAAAATTTTGAAGCCTTAAAAGAGTTTTGAAACTTTCTGTCTTGACAACCTTTTTACGAGGATTAGTGGCAGATGATTAGACGTTTTTCAGCAGCAAATGAAGCTGAGGCTGAGCTTTCTCAGGCAGACTCATAACACAGAAAATGCATTCTTAGGCATTCATATGCAATCTCTTACATGGAACTCCTGCATGAACTTCTGGAAGGCAGATGACAGGGAAAGAAAAAAAAACTTGATTGACTTCTTTACAGAGTGGGGGAAAACTGTAGGGGTGATGTGAACAAAAGTGATCAGAGCCCAAGAGAAAAGATAAAAGATTCTCAACTTGTAGGAGTTCTTGAATATCTATAAGAGCTGTATGAAATTGCACTGGAGGTTCTGTGATTCTGTGAATAGCTAACATGTCTTACGTCTTCATATGAGATTTTTCTGTTCCCTTCTGATATTTCCCCTTAATTTTGAAGATGCACTTTGTGAGTTGGGAATCAAGTTTGTCTGAACAATCTGAATACTTACCTGAATTATATCTATAGTTTAATTGCCTTTAGTACATGCGATTTTGATTACAAACAAAGTTAAAGTGCTTTTTGTTTGTTTGTTTGTTTAAACTTAGATCTGCAGAACAGAAAGATGACAGGGCTGTAGTATCCTCGTGTGGCCGTCCCGGGTAACCTGGGTTATTGTCTTGCCCCATCTAGTGGCCAGGACTGGATGGCTAAAATAAAAATGAAGCTGATAAAATGTTTTTCATCTTTTAATTTGTGCTATGGCCTTTTTGAAAAGGAACTCTTTAACAATCATTCCTGACTTTTAGAATTAAGTGGGAATTCTACAATAGTTACTTTAATGCCATGAAAACACCGACTGCATCTAACTTTAGTTTTATGCTTACTAAGTGTTACTGTTTTCTGTTTTACATTCTTCTTAGTCTTTTTTGGCATAATATATTTGTTTTTTGTGTTCTGTTATCCCTTTTGTTTTGGTCTTGGATGATACTTTGACACACCAGTGGTAAAATTAATCTCACACTGACAAACTCTGAAAATGGATAATTTGGTCTCTGGAAGACCCCAGGAAATGCACTTAACTGTATCTGGACTTGTGGCAATGCAGGGAGGAAGAGGAGCTACAGAAGTGTTGCTGGATCAGAAATCAATATTTGCTACTTAAAAATACAAAAATTAAAGAAATAATAGGATTAAAAAAAAAATAACAACAAATCAACTTTGTCCTGTTTTCTAAAAATAGTGGTCAGAAAGAGTGCAACACCTTTTTTTTTCCTTTGTTTTGAAGGAAGAGCTTTATGGGGGGAGAATGGCTTTTTATAATAGAATGAATACAGCTTTCCTGACATCCTTACAGCACCGTGGAGCCAGTGCCATTACAATGCAGATGTAAATTAATCTGTGTCCTTATTTCTGTTTGCCAGCCTGCAGGGAAGGTCAGACATTTTACTTCACCTAGTGCTGGGATGAATCTTAAAATACAGAAGCTTTCTAGAACACCCTGCCAGTAGTTCCCTTTGGCTATTTTAGGAAGGAGGTCAGTTCAAGCATCTTTTAGTGTAAATACTGAGCTCACAGAAATTGTATGCACATGGAATGATATCTGTTACTGTTTTGTTGGCGTCCATATTCCTTAGAGATGTTTGATGAGTTAGGTGATACAAATATGCTGTAATGCACTTTATTATGGCCTAATTCAGTGTGTCCATACCTCAGAGAGAGGGATTGTATTAAATGGTGTCAAAAACCCAAGGGATTCTGCAGTTTTGCAAAACAAGTAGAGAAGGTTTGGAAGTGGGCAGATAGTGAAGTATTAGGTAATACTGAGGTCACAACACTGATCTGTTCATGTGGAACATCACTGGTTGCTCTGGTCTTTTAAAGTTAAAGGAGGACAAGAATTTAAGAAGTGAAAAAAAGCTTTCTGGTCTTGTTAGGCTTTGTAAGAAGTATTTTTCATAGGAGGAAATTAAAAGAATTGTCTAGTTCCATGTAGAAGTCTCTGGAAAGATTAATGAAGTCACTGCCCTTAAGTAATACCTCGTGGATATATTTGAGGAGAAATGAAAGAGCTGATTAAGCTCTTCAACACTGGAATAAGGACAGTGGGTATGAAGGAGCTTTACCCATTGGATTTGAAATGAAAATTAGAATGTTTCTTGTCAATAATTGGATTAATCTGATTATTAACTTTCCAGCAACAGTAGTAGAATTACTACAGTGGATGAAACACAGAGAGCTCAGCAGTGCTGGGGCCCCATCTCATCAGCTATGGAATGGAACATGTCCCACACATCTATTAATACTCCATGTGGACTTTACCAGTAAAAATACCCTCACCCTCAGGCCAGCCAGTGGCCCCAGGCACTGGCCTGTACCCTCTGGAAACAATCCCTGGCTGTGTCCCAGGCCAGGTGCTGGATGGGTGGATCCCAGAGAGAGCCCTCCTGGCTCTACTGTCCCTGGTTCTTGTCAAAGAGAACAAGATAATGTGTACAGGGTGTGAAATGGTGCCACCTACACTGGCACTTTCCTTTTGCTTAATTCTTGCATAGGGTTTAAACATTATCAGTACCTGCACCCAGGCATGGTGGAGTATTTGTTACTGTAAGGACTAACAAAAGCCAGAAACTTGCAGCTGAAGGATTAAAGTGGGAAGTAAGACATATTTTTAACACCTATTGTAATTCAGGTTGTGGTAGCTTATCAAAAAAAGTGATAGATACACCATCACAGGATTGCACGTCTCTAAAAATGTGCTCTAACTCATCTGTGGATTTATGGAGTTACATATGGGAATCTCTAGACAGAATCCTCTGGCTTGTGTTATTTGGGAGGTCAGAATTCACAGATCTTAATGGTTCCTTTTGCCTTAAAGAGCTATGAGTCAAGAAAAAATCTGAATGCTCAAAAGCACAGTGCATTTTTAATGATACCATTTTGCACATTTTGCTAAAGACAAGAACAGCTCACAGTATTAGGCAGCATGTTAGAAAATATGCTATTCATGTGTTCAATTCTTTGTACTCTAAAGATGTCATTATTACCACATATTGAAGTGCACCGTTGGTTTAAATGAAGAAATTGCTGACTCTAGAGTATAAAAAAAAACAGCAGTGTTTGGAGGAGTTCAGAAGGTGATGGTATTTCAGCTTTTTAGGTTTTTAAAATTCTTAAGTACTCTAATAATACCTTCCAATTGGGCTGCTGCTTAATAAAATTAACCTCGTGTAGGAAAGAGTAGACTATATGAAGGCCTGTAGTGTTGTAATAACAGCCATCTTTGAACCTGGTTTATATCTTAATGCAAGTACAGTATCTTTAGTTTTGGGGTTTTTCTTTAAAAATTCTCCCATACTGAGGTACCTTGGTGTAATTGAAGGACAAAAGTTGAGCTTTCCAGTAGCAAAACACTTAGGCTTGATTTGGTTTTTTTTTGTTTGTTTTTTTTTTTTTTACTTTCATTGAATGTACTGAGTATTTACATCAGTAGATTTCCCACAGGATGAATTGTGAATGCTGAGCATTCGGAAAATCAGGCTTGTGTCAGACTTGGAATTTTGACTTGGCGGACATTGCTTTTACCATAATGTGACCCTGCAGAATTCACCAGCAGCAACTAGGGAAGAGCCCAGCCAGTCAAGCACAGCTTTGTCTAATCCAGCTTTCTTATGATAAACCATGGGGCTGTGTGATGAGCTGCATTGACAGCTGGAGGTCTGGGTGCACAGAATGTGCTCTTGCACATAACCAGAAAACTGGTACCTTCGTAACTCTCATAATCTTCTACCTTCCTTTGAGGTGAATATTCCTGAGCGTATTCTAGCTAACTTCAAACAGACACATCACTGACTAGAATGTTCTGCAGTTAGAGCACAGAAGTGCAGTTTGCCAGGTGGTGAGAATGGCTGTGTTTGTTTGTAGGTGGTTGAGCTGAAGCCGGGTGGAAAGGACATTCCCGTCACCAGCGCCAACCGGATCGCGTACATCCATCTGGTGGCAGACTACCGGCTGAACAAACAGATCCGCCACCACTGCCTGGCCTTCCGCCAGGGGCTGGCCAACGTGGTGAACCTCGAGTGGCTTCGGATGTTTGATCAGCAGGAAATACAGGTACTGCTGCTTAAAGCTGCACAAAGCAATTGCTCTAAACAGAAATAATTGCTGATTTCTGCCTGTAATGTAATGGTCTGATTTCCTTTGCTGTTAGGTTCTGACTTCTGGTGCACAAGTTCCTATCAGTTTGGATGACCTTAAGTCTTTCACAAACTATTCAGGTAAGCGTATTTTGGGGTTTTTTGTTCACTTAAGCATATTTTTGCTTAAGTAAAAAAATTTATTATGACTTGGGAATAACTGTGCTTTTTATCCTACCTTTTAAGAAAAGGTTGCAGGGTCATTCTTGTTACCTTTGGCCAAATTCAGAAAATTGGCTAAAATTACAATGCAGTTTTATAGATGGTGGGAAATTGAAATACACAGTTTACTTTATTCACATGCTTAAATTCAAGTTTATAGCCAGATAATTTGAGGGTGTTTCTTTTCTGAATTGAAATTAGTCACTGTCTGTGTCTGATTGATCTGAAAATAAGTCTGCAAATTACTTTGGGATAGTAGTTTCTACTACATCATTTAGATACTTACCATTTTTCAGACAGTCTGAAGAGAGAGATCATATATTTTCCTTGTGAAAAATGCAAGGTATCTTACTTCATTTGTCCCCTGCCTTTATCATGAATGTAATCAAAAAGTAGCTACCAAATAATCAGTTCACATCTGGGCTTACCTCAGGGTAAGTGGATTCATTCCATAACATCCTCGCTCATGTAGATTTTGCACACTCTTGGAGTGATAGGCAGTAATCTAAAGTTACTAGCTAAACGATAAACTAAATAAAATCAATTTAAAATAGGCTTCAGTGAAGAAAACTGCATTTAAGAAGCTGAGGAATATAGTAGCCGTAGAATGAAACTGAAATTGCAGTGATAACAGATCTGTAGGTACTGGAAGTTAGCAATACAAGCCTGTTGGCTATAATACTTTCCCCAAACTTTCAAGATTGATGCTAAGTTTTCTGTATAATTTATGTATTACATAAAGCTATTCTAGCTGTAAATATTTTAAATCTCTTTGCAGGTGGCTACACAGCAGACCATCCTGTAATTAAAATATTTTGGAGGGTTGTAGAAAGCTTCACTGATGAAGAGAAACGCAAACTCCTGAAATTTGTGACGAGCTGTTCTCGACCACCTCTTCTGGGGTTTAAAGTATGTCCTCTGGCTTCCTGGCAAGCTTTTAGAAGTGCTGCAGATGGTGGTCCAAGTTTTTCTAGTCTAGGAATCTACAACTTGAGATTACTCGTCTGTGACTGCAGAAACAGCTTCAATGTTTGCATTTACATATATAATAAGTACAGTTTTAAAATATGTAATGAAGTGTTCTGTTGTTTTCTGTTTTAACTGTGAAATTTGGTAAGTCTGTAAATCACTGATTAGAGCACTTGCTGTGTGTGATGGAAGATCTTGCTGCCATTTCATGTGCAGGAGAGTTGCTATCAATTTCAAGGAACAGATTGAGTTAAACCTAGTGTATTCTAATTCAGGCAAAAGAGAATTTAGGATATAAAAGCAGTTATTAAATTTGATCTTCTTAAATTAAACATTTGGAGCAGGACATGTATTTTCTTTTCTTCTAATTACCATTTATTTGCTTGTAGCTCATAGCTCATTACCCTAAGCAGCAAAATATTTAGCTGCAGTCTCCAGATTGCTTTTTACAGGACAGCTTAAGTATGAAAATTTGTTGTATTACTATTAAAACTAAAGAGGGACCAAGGCAAGGTGAAGACATTTTGAAACTAAATTCTGGGGTTGTTCTACCCATGAATTTCAGTGGACTACAAAATTTTGGCTAAGACCCAGCCATCACATAATTTCCTCTAAAATGTGGGAACATTTAGTGCTGTGTGATGGTGTTACCATGTGGATGGGCAACATCCTCCATCTTTAGTATCTGTAATCTATAGCTCAGCTGCACTCCTTTTATAGACATCTAGGATTGGAACTGGATTGCCAACTTCGAGTTGGTAATTGGTCTGACTGTTCCATGTGTCAGCTTCAGAATGAGTCATGTCTCAGACTCCCCAAGACATGCTAACCACATCCCCTTTAACAGTAAAAGTGTCCATAGATATGGATATAGAGACAGTGGACATGGCTGTTGAATCACACTAATCCTGTCTTGGGTATTTGTCTATTGATTTATTTGATTCCTTAGTTAAAAGTCTGCAGGCCTTTCTCCTAAACCCAAGTCCATGCAAATATCACTGTACAGTACTGTAGCAATAAATAGGATTTTACAGGACAGCAGGAAGAGCAATTGGAAAACTCCTGGATGAGACCAAGATAGAACAGTGCATATCAATCACATTAGGAAGGGAGAATTAGGAAACAACTGGGAAACCAAGTAAGCAGAAGTTCCCATTTGTTGTCAGCCTCTTTAATTACAAGGGGAGAGGAGAAAATGCAGATGTAGGTACCCAGCTTCGAGGTATCCGGTGTGACATTTGAAGAGATGGAGGAAGTGAATCAAAAGTCTAAAAATACTAAGGCTGACAGTGACACACTTGAAAGAAGCTAAATGGGGAAAGCTGCAGTTTGTGTTTTCATTTGGGAGATGGGCCTCAAACTGCCTGTAACAGACATGGTTAAGAAAAAATGGAAGCAAATTAGTCACCATATTTTCAGCATGAAAGTAGTAAGTTAAAAGATGAATTCGCTGTGCAAGGGGTGTGCATGCTCAGCCACATGCAGCAGTGTTGGCAGAGGAGAGCAGCTGAGAAGGCATTGGAGCCTCTCTGCTGGGCAGCTCAGGGCGGGACCTCAGCCGTGGTGGCTGCAGCAGGACCTGTGCACAGGGATTTACCTCCAAACCAGGGGCTTGCCAGCAAGTGTCTGCCAGAAAAGGCAGTGGGTGACTGGTATTGTCATCAGCAGGAATGTCTTGGTTGCCCATGGCAGTGCATTGTTTGGAGCTTGGAAGGTGCAGGAGTGCTGTGTATTACGAGCCAAGTAAGCATGAGAACGTGTTTATGTTGGTGGGAGACATGAACACAAACAGTCTTCAGAATGTGTTTGCACTTTCAGTGTGTGGGCTGTATTTTTCTGACAGAAACACAATTTTTGGTTCTCACTCTGAAGTTTTCTGTGTATGCATTATATTGTGACATCATCATGTTTTCTTTAAGTTAGTGCATGTTGATTTAAGATTAGGAAATATCTTGATGGTCATGGCTTATAGATAACATAGTCTAGCTTTGATAATTTAAAAATTTTCAACTTTCATTGCCAGATTCAGGTTCAGAATAACACTTACTAAAGCTAATTAAAGTTTAATAAGTTTAATAAATGTGATTGTCACAGACAAAAAAAAAAAATCATTTAAGTGTGGTTGAAAATTGTTAAGTTCCAATCAGGTCACATAATAAATTGATGATACTTTTCCCTTCCAAACTCTTGCAGTTTCCCGCTGTACAGTATTTAATTATGCAACAAATGGTGCCCTTGGCATGACATTTCAATTTAGAACTCCATTTTTCCATTTTTAAAGCTAGAGTCGGGGAATTCAATTAGCATTTTGAAAGGAACACTAAAAATGCAACATTTTAGCCATGAAATACTTTTAAGGCCTCCATTTGAACAATAATTTAGCTTAGAATTTCATTGACCTTTTGCCTTTGAAGCTGGAATTTTTTTCCAGTTTCTAAAATGAGAACTTTTTTACCTCAGGCAAGCTTTTGCTAAAATGAATACTGTCTTGCCAGCAAAAGCAATGATTTGGACGTAAAAAATAAATCTATTTTTTGCTATACTACTTTTTGGAAGAAGATAAATGGGATATTATTAAAACAATTAAATACTATATACAAAATATCTTTAAAGTGTGCTCTTCAGATCAGTAGTTAACACATCAGAAGAATAATCAGGGTTTGACAAGTTTTTTTCATTACAGACTCACTATGCACATTGATATTATATTTGTGTAGCATTGTACATTTGTACCATAGACTATATGAACAATAACAAGTCATTGTATTTTCCTTAGAATCACATAAATTGTTTTGTGTATTCCAAAGAGGGAGACACTACGTAATTCAAGAGTGGTATGAGGAATGACAGAAATGCCGTTTGAGTGTCATTGTGACAGCTTTTCACCTAGTGATTTACTTTGTAGAGATGTGTGCCAGCTGCTGCAGGGTAGGTTTTGGCTTGTATACCTATTTTTGATATGTGGTTGTTTTTTGTCTTGGTTGCATCTTCAGGAGTTATATCCTGCATTTTGCATTCACAACGGAGGATCTGATTTAGACAGGCTGCCTACTGCCAGTACCTGCATGAACTTGCTGAAGCTTCCTGAGTTTTATGATGAGAACCTGATGCGAAGCAAGCTCCTCTATGCCATTGAATGTGCTGCTGGATTTGAGCTCAGCTGAGTCCAACCCGTGCTTATCCGGATGATCTGCAGAAGAACGAACCAGTGCCTACTCTATAAGCAGCACCTGTACCCAAGCAGTTTTAAGGGAATTCTGTCTACGTTTCTGCAGCTCTTGTGTCTTACCAAATGCCCTCAAATAGGTTTCATTTCTAAACACGATTTCTTAGTTAGCTTCCATTACTGAATATTGCATTGACACTGCTTTATGTCTCAAAACAATGAATGCTGTGTGCAGTGTGGCTGATTTCTGTGTTAATGTGAAGAAAGAGCACATTTAAAGAACAGTGACATCTCAGTGAAATTAACCAAAGATGAAGCTTTGGCTTTGTGCTGTTCAAACATTAATAATTTTGCAAACTGGCAATAAAGTTGTGTACTGTGCGGTGCATTGGGACGAGACAGGGCTAACATCCTGTAATTAATCTTTTAAAAGGAAGGCAAGCAGATGTTTGCAGATATCCCAGAACTGAGAGGATGAAAATGCTCATTTCTGACAACCTGACAACTTACATTGTGGAGTTGTTTACAAATCATAGAGAGATGGGCAATCCCCAATCATACTAAATTTAACCAGGGCAAGTGCTGGGTTCTACACTTGGGACAGGGCAGTCCTGGTTGATGGCAAGTGGAACACCAACCAGCAGTGCTCTGGCAGCCAGGAGGGCCAGCCCTGTCCTGGGGACATCAGGCCCAGCATGGCCAGCTGGGCAAGGGAGGGGATTGTCCCCTCCGCTGTGCACTGGGGCAGCCTCACCTCGAGTGCTGGGGGCATATTTTGGTGCCACAATATAAAGAAGACTTTGAGCCATTAGAGAGCATCCAGAGGAGGCTGTGAGGGTGGTGAAGGGTTTGGTAAAAAGATACTGTTAATGACAATAAAGTGCAAAAAGTAAAAAAGGCCTGGAGGAGACCTCACTGCAGTAACAGCTTCTCGTGAGGGGAAGAGGAGAGGCAGGCACTGATCTCTGCTCTCTGGTGACAGTGATGAGACCTGAGAAAACAGCATGGAACTGGATCTGTGGAAGGTTCAGGTTGGGTATCATGAAATGGTTTCCTCACCCAGAGAGTGGCTGGGCACTGAACAGGCTCCCCAGGGCAGTGGTTGCAGCCCTAAGTCTGCCATAGTTCAATAAGTGTTGGAACAATGCTCTCAGACACTTGTTGTGACTCTTGGGGTGTCCTGTGCAGGACCAGGAGTTGGACTGGATGATCCTGATCAACCCCTTCCAACTCAGCATAGTCCATGATTCTAGGATAGTTGTTGCAGAACTGATTTTGTTTCATATTGCCTTCCCTCAAGATGATAGACACTGAGATAAAATATAAAATGGGTGTAATATTCCATTTGTACTTTCTGAAACACTTGGAAGAAAACAGATTTGCATTATTTTAAGTTCAACCTTTGCTGCATCATTATCACTTGGACACTGTTCTGAATGGATGTGACTTTCCAGGTTTTCTCTGTCCTGTTTCTGTCTTTTGTGCCTGTACAGGTTTGTTGATTGGTTGGTTGGGTTTAAATGAATCAGTCTCCTATTGCATACAGTACATATAGAAGTCACCACTTTGGAAAAATATACATGTAATAATTATTAAAGTTATTTGAACCAAAGTTATCAGGCTTTATCTTTTATATTTGAAGCCTGTGGTGTTCACATTCCTTTTCCCTATTATTTCTTCCCATCTTAAATGCCGTATGTGTGCCGTAGACACTAAACAAATTAACTTTTTTTTGTGATTAAACAGCTTTTATATCCATTTCCCTGCAGTATTTCTGCCGAGAAAAGTAAGTGGGAATATGCTGCTTAATATAATTTGATATCTGGGTAAAAAATTGCTCTCATATGGAAGGAGCTGATCCTCCAATAGTAGGCACGTCGTAGGGTTTCGTATGCAAACTCCAGTGAGTTTAGAAAAGGAATTATAGTTCAGACTGTAAGATTCATCAGTCCATCCCTCTGAACTTCACTTTTATATTTTAAATCATCCAAAATTACAATCAAATTTGTATTCATCTCTTATGCAAAAAAAATATTTTGCTGTTACTGGAAACTCTGCTGGATTTCCTATTTAATAAGCAGTAACCAGCAATATCCTTTTAAATGTGGGGAAATTGAGTGGTTTTAAGATGTTTACTAGTAACCATATAAAAATGTATAATTTCTTAATTTGGGTAATAAATGAAGTGTTAAGATACTATTTGTAGTCTTGATGTACAGAAATAAAATGATTGGTTTTCTTTTTGGTTTTGCTTTAGGCTTTTTATTTATGTTAAATGTTACATGCTCAACCTATTGTTTATCCCAAATTCTTTTCTTGTATATTTTTCTACATAAATTATGAAACTTGTAAAGAAGTTGAAGAGATCAGTAATAGTGAAACTGCCTCCTCCTAATTGCAAAACCTGAAGACTTCTTTTAGATAGCATTATTTATTTTAGAACCTAATGCTTTAAATATTTTGAAATTATTTTTCAATTCCATTATTATGCTACATTGAGTAGTGTTGTATCTGTATTTTGTAAAATTAAATTAAATTTTTCTATTAAATATTTGTATTTTGAAGATTGTGTTGGAGTCATGCCAAGTACTGGTGACTGGTACTGCCCACTTTGTGCTTTTGAAAAGGAGCCAGTGCCCACTATTGCTGTCTGTGGCAGGAGAGCAGAGGGTGCCACAGGGAGGGTAGGCTGGGGGAAGTGTGACTTGCACAGAGCTGCAATTGCAGCAATCACAGAGCTCCAGAAACCTTCAGGAGAGAACGTGAGTTTGCTGGCGGTGCTCTGATGTTTCATTTCTTCGTTCTGCAGCGCTCGGTGGTGTTTGTGTATCCTGTCCCTGGAGTGTGACACTGGCACAGGCACAGAGCAGTTGTGTTTCACTGCACAGGCTGCAGGTCTGTGCAGCTTCCCCACCTTCAGAATCCAGGCTGCAGTGAGAGGAGTGGGGCTTGCCTTTGGCAGCCCGTGCTTCCAGCTCTGCCAGCTGTTTCCAGACTGGCAGGATGAAGCATGAATTCCTGCTTTTCAATGACCTGTTGCTGGATATTTTAAAGAACAGGAGATGAAGGTGTGAGAAGTAACAGTAATGTCCTGAGGAGCAGGGGGGGTCAAAATGATCTCTTGTACCTCTTATGTAGCAAGAATTGTTTCTATATGACACTGGATTTTCTGGATTTTAGAGGAAGAGCAAACCGGTGGTGATGCTCCCAGGGCTGAGGTAGGCACAGGCAGGAGCACTCTGCATACAAGCAAGCTGAAATTTTATTGTAAATTTGATAATCAGAATTACAGCAGTAATAATTATGAGTTTGGGGTTGGTTTCTGTACAAGATAACCTTTCCATAATGTAAGTTTCTGTACTACAGTGTTTCTTCCTCCTAGTTCATTATTTGCTTTTTGAAAAAGCAAGCATTTTCTGATTGGTTTTTGTTTTCAAGTAGGTTTGGGTTTGTAATTTTGTAACCTGTTCTACAAACATTTTTGTCAAGGTCTGTATGATGGAAGAGTTCACAAATTTTTCATCTCTACAAAGTTCAAAGGTGTTAAAAGTGGAATAAAGACATAAAATTAGCACTCGGTCTCTTTATTTCAATGGAAGTTTTTCCAGATGGGAGTTCAGTCCTATTAGGTGGATTAAAAAAAAAAAAAAAAAAAAAAAAAAAAAAAAAAAAAAAAAAAAAAAAAAAAAAAAAAAAAAAAAAAAGCACAGCAAACCAAACCAGGAGTAATTGGCCTTGTCTTTAATCTCTGTTGTCTTCCATCATGGTCCTGAAAGCCAGACTTATATAATTTTACAAAACTGATTGCTAGGGAACATTTATTTATCTTCAAAAGAGGAAAGATTTTCTTCCAGTTCCCTGTGTAAACTCTGAGCTGACAGAAGTTTGATTTGAATGAGGAGGATATCTTCATGTATTTTTTAGGGAGGTGCTCCATAAAAATAATAAAATCTGAGCTTCCTGATTCTGTTAATAGCAATGATGATTTTTTTTTTTTTTTTTGGCATCACTTGAGTAATATAGCACGAACATCCTCATTTAATCCTATAAAGAGGTTTGGAATTCAGAGAAAACACTTTGAATGCAGTGAGTTCATACATTTCAGTTTCTACCAAAAACTGTTAGTTAAATACCAGTGAGACAGCACATATTCACCACTGAAAAACACAACAGCACAGAAAAAAAAAAAAGGAATGTTTGTTGGACCTGTAATATTTGCTCATATACACAAATCTGTGTTAATAATGGTTTGTGATGTAAATGCTTGTTACTTTTTTTTTTCCATGATGCTTTTGCCTGTCAGTGAAGGAGTGAAGAACATGGTCTGTAAAATTGATCAGGATATCTATATTTTTATTGACTTCTGCTTTTGTGAATAAAATAATTTGAGTTTTATTGAAACTCTGCAGAAACACTCTTTCATTTTTGCAGTAAATTGGGCATTCTCTTGTTAAAAACTGATGATACTAATTAGGTTCTAAAAGAATGTAATATTAACTGCTTGTTGGTCTTGAAGGGATTACTGTTGGAACTGGCCATCCGAGGCAGTGCTGGAGTCACCATTCATGGAGGAATTAAAAATTCCTGTTGATGTGTCACTGAGGGACTTGGTTCACGTGGTGGGATTGGCAGTGCTGGGTTAATGGCTGGGCTCAGTCATTGCTGTTTTCCAACTTAAACATTCCTGTGGTTCTGCTGCTTTGGGATGGTTCCTACCCTTCAGCTTTCGAGCTGTGATTTCCCACTCTGGCAAGGAAGCTGCAGCTCTGAAGTTTACTGTTGTTTTCAGGGTGTCTTTCAAACAATGCACTTGCTCTGATTTGTGAAAACTTGTTCAGAATCTTTGGAAAGAATAAAACTCCATGGATAGAAGTCTGAGAAGCTGGAATTGATAATGAAGAATGCTACTCTTCAGCAAACACAAAAATTTCTGTCAGCAAACACAAAAATGTCTCAACTGTTTCTGGAATTCTAGCACATGTGGGCTCCTTTGAAGGTGCAATTTAGTTTTATCTCCTTTGATAATTAGACTTATCTTCTCCCCTTTGCTTATTTATTATTTTCTTGGCTAAATACACTTTTAGTTCTACTTTAATATTTATAGTTAGTATGGTGCATATTTATTTTTGAATGTTTAGAAACAGCAGCATATATGCTTCAGCTTACCTGCTACTAAAAATGTGGTAGACATAAAACTACAGAAAACTCCTCTTGTAGGGCATTTGCTAATTTGTAACATTAATAAAAAGACAAATGCCCATGTATCTGACCTGTTTTTCAGTATGTATCTGGTAGTCTGGAAAGGGCATTAAATTTCTCATGTGTGTAGAGAGACAACAAGGCAAGAAGTGATCATGAAGTTACACAAATTGAATCCATTAGAGAGAACATAGAATAGCTGAAGTCAGGAGGAATGTCTGGAGATCACCTCTTCCAACCCCCAGCTCAAAGCAGGGTCACCTACAGCAGGTTGCAAGACCTTCACCTGTGGAGTTCTGAATGTCTTCTTGGATGGAGAATCCACAATTTCTCTGTGCAATCTGTTTTCAGTGTTCAATTAACTTCACAATAAAACCTTTAAAATCATGTTTAAACACATTTCTTGTATTCCAATTTGTGCCCCTTGCCTCTTGTCCTGTGGGGCAGTACTAAGGAAGCTGAGCCTTTTCCAGGCTGAACAGCATCAGCCTCTCGTCATATGACACGGCCTCCAAAACCTCAATCATCTTGCTCTGCCTTGTTAGTGACCCCAGCAGCATCTTCAAAATACCTTTTGTAGAGTTTGATGTGACTGGGGACTGAGTTAAGTGACAGTCTCTTCCTTACCAGATTCCTGTGGTGGTTAATCAGTGGCACTTACCAGGTAAGGTTGGATTTAAGATTTTGTGGCTTTACTTTTTCAACTTCCAGTTCTGCTTTGACTTTTCAAGGATTTTGCAAAACTCTTATCAATGTAAAATAGCAGACTTCGTAAAAACTGATCTCTGAGTTATTTTCACAATTTTTTATAGATAGGATGCTAAATATTGATATAAAAGCCATAGGATTAATGTTAAATCACCTAAATGTATATTTGCTTCTGCCACCAACAGTATCAAACACCCAAGTGCAACATCTTGTGCAAACTCCTGTATTTTGACTGTCTTCTGAAGGTCGAGTAGCCCAAAATTCAGCAAATCACATCAGACTGTCAAATAGGAGAAACATAGGCATTCTGACTGGCAAAAAATGGAACATAAAGGCAGGCAGAGATGTCCTGCAGCTTGATTTCACACTGTCAAGGGATGAGCTCTCCTTGTGTGATGATTAAATCGTTGCTACATTTATTGCCAGAATAGTTGCTCTCCAGTCTGGGCCTAAGCTTCCCTGTCCACAGCTCTGCAGAATCATAAATTCTGTGTGCAAAGTTGGTTCATGTATTTATAGGAGCAGCATGCTCAAATTTCCTACTATATTTAACATCATTCTTTTCTGCATTCCCAGAGCAGCTGTTTGTTCATTCTGTGTAACATTTAACTGAAAAGTAGTTTTGCATTATTTCTATTTTATTCCTTGTTTATAGTTATACATAGTTTTTGGTTGCTGAAGAAAGAAACAGGCATTCACCAGATGGTGTTATTTCAGATCCTCCTGCTACTGCTGCTTGCCAAAATGTTAGACCTGGGAAAAGCATCTCTCTCAGTTGCTATGTAGTTTTGCTGTATGTTGTCAAACAAACCTTCTGAAGGAATTGTTTCTTTTAGACCTTGTATCTTTACTTAGGAATTATTTTCATTACAGCTCTGTTTTTCTTTTTTCCCCTCTTCACTTTTCAGGTAAAAAGCAGCAGACCTCAAAGTTCTGCAGAGATACTTTAGGTATAATTATCTGGTAGATCTATCTGGCTATTGATAAAAAATTACATGGAATTAACTAATATTTCACATTGTCACGTGGACAAAAAAGCATATCCCTGATCAAGTTAATGAACATAAGTGCTGATCAAGCTGTCCTTGCAAAGAATAAGCATTTTGCATAAGCTGTGAGATTGTCTGACTGCCCCCAACAGTTCTGGGTTGTTTTGTGCAGACCTCAAATAGTCAGCAAAATACATCTGATATTTCAGGAGGAATTGGCAGAAGCATCAACTATGCTGAAGTGGTTTAAGTACTTTCAAAAGCATTCTCTTAGCTCAGCTTTTTGCACACAAAGAGGAGTCCAGATAAACTTGCAGCCTCTAGATTACCTAAGACACACTACAGATGAAAACTGAGGTTGTGCTCAGCAGGAAAACACTGGAGAATGCAAGAGAAATTGGGTTATTTTGTGCTTTTAATGCTTCTACTGAAAGTTTTAAACTCTAGGTGTATTGCACATATTTCAAGTCTAATTGTTTCTGATAAACTATCAGGAAAAAGTTAATGCTTACATTTAATTAAGTGGCACTTTCCAGAATTACTTTGCCAGCAGTACTATAATTAGATGATATGAGAACAGTCTTTGATACATATGCTCATATTCTTTGTTAACACCAAAAATAGAATCTGTAAATCTGTAAATAGAAGAACGGGATGCATTACACAGCAGGGCAGAGCAGCAGGCTGGGAAGGCTACAGCCATTACCACCTCAGGAGGATTAACATTAATGTCTCTCTAATGCAGCATTTTTAAACATTTCTTGTGTTCTGATGGGCTTTATATAATTGACCTCCATAAATCATAAAAGATGGTTTAAAAAAAGCATCTGGGAACTCTGTGAATTGCCAATACCTCCTGGAACACTGCCACGTGATTTCCATCATTAGGTTATAGCTGCCAGTTAGGGCTGAATTCATCTCACTTAACTTCAGGCATCTGTGAGGTGGCATTTAGGGAGAAAAGGCAGCCCTGGGACAGAGCTCTGGTGGGTGGTTCCTTTCCTAAAACACATCTCCAAAGAGGGTGGAAGGAACTGAGCCCTGGATGTGCCCTCTCCTCCTCTCTCTTCACAGTCAATGGCCTCAAACTGGATGTTCGAGACAGCTGAATTTGGGTGAGATGACAAAACCTTTCTCTCGTGTTCCCAGAGGAGAGTTGAAAATTCTTAAACAATTAAGATTCTTTGATAGCAGCTTTACTCTGACTCAATGACTTGGCACTTGGATATCAGCCTGGATCTCTGATACCAGCTTTAACAGACCCACAGACCCTCTTTTGTTATTGGAATGTTGATGCTCTGCCAGCAACGTCAGATTTAATGTCCCTTAAGGCAGTACTCCAGGCTTCTGCTGCAAGCAGCCATAAAAACACAGGACACTTTGACTTCATACTTTTGAAAATACCTTTGAAGGTGTTCTGAATCAAAAAGCTTTTCAGTTTTATTAGTCCTATACATAGAGCTAATTAAAAATGTTAATGAGCCAGTTATGCAATCCTTTTGGATTTCAATAAAACATTCAGTACTCTCTCTCCCAGGATCCTTGTGGACAAAATGTCCAGCACACAGATGGATAAACACATCATGGGATGGGCGAGCGTTTGGCTCACGGGTCAGCACCAAGGGTTGCAGTGGATGGGGTGACAGCAGGCTGGTGTCCTGTCCCCACTGGGGTTCCACAGGGCCCAGCCTCAGCCCTGCGCTCCTCAACATCCTCATCAATGACTCGGATGGGATACTAACTAAGTTTGCCAAGGACACTAAACTGGGAGGAGTTGCTGACTCCCTTGAGGGAAGGGAGGCCCTGCAGAGACCCAGACAAATCAGAGGGCTGGGCAATCACCAACCATTTGAAGTTCAACCAGGGCAATCCTGGATGTGTGTGCTTCGGTATCCCCTGCAGTACCTCTTCTGGTGGGCTTTGCCACGTGCTATTTTAATTGAAATCACCTGCCTTTCCCTGTAACAGAGAACAGAAAATTAAATATTGTGTGCCAATTTGAGCAAATGTTTAAAAAGTAAATAATTATTGTTATTGTTCAGGAGATAATCTGATCTATCAATGACCATAAGTTAAAAAAAAAAGAGATCCCCTAATAAATTATATTTGTAATTGGTGGCTCTGTAAACTGCCTCTTCTGAGAAGTATTGGGAAATGTCTTCTTATCTTTTTCAAAGACAAGCATAAACCAATTAAATTTTTTTGATTTAAAAAATAATTATTTTGTTTTCATCTATAACTTTGTTAGGAAACATTTATTAACATTCTCAGTGTTTTGCTGTAGAAAATGCTAAACTACGCTGCCCTCAGCTATGAGCAGGCAATTTACCTTCTCATACCTTCCTTTCTCCAAATGCAAAATTGGTCTCTAAGCCTTCCTAAATGTTATTCCTGTATCTGAAGGATGCTAAAGCAGGGCTATGCTGTTTAGAGTCAGAACAGTGTTAGAAAATCGCTGGGCAGATTAATGTAATGATAACAAATTGTGTTAAAGAAGCCATGGTCCTGGTTGCATTGATGCAGGCAGTGTTTTGAGTCCAACCCTCTAGTTCCATATGGAATCATGCTTCTTTGCCATGTTCCGCTTGCTTGGCTAAACAGAAAGTTTTATGGTTGGCATCCATCATACTTTAACTGTAAATATAAAATCTGCTCTTATTAAAGCAAAGAGACTTCCTCGTGTGACTTTTGTCCTGTTTACTACAGCTCAGGTTTTAGTACTCTTCACTTTTTTTCTCCCCTGTAATTGGTAATGAAAGGCTGGAGAAAAACCATTATTTCAAGAACAAGAAATGTTTAAAGGATTAAATCAAAATTTTGTATGGTCTCCTCCCTCACCTCACAATACTGACCTGCCTTTGCATTTGCCAGGCTGTGAATCCTCTGAGGTCTGAACTTGGCCCATTAGGAAGAGCCAGTCTAACCCACTAATCCTTTGGGTGTTTTCTTTCCCAGTGGACCAACAACTTGGACTTCACAGCTACTTGCTGATGAGAAACTAATAATGGAGTGAGGTGTCTCTCTGCTCTAATTTGAAGAATTGTTTCCACGACCACAACATAGCATCAACAATCAACAATATTTCCTTTGAAGCTTGCATTTCCCCAAAGCACCAAGCCTGTACTTAGGGTTGTCCTACTACTTGTCCTGCTGATTTGTTTTAGGTTTTCCTCTTCCTTATTGCAAGCTGGATTTTGTCTTTTTGAACTGACCCCACTCCCACACAAACACTTCCTAAATAATGTGTAGCCTTTTCATTGAATTTATTTTGGAAGCATACATTTTAGGCGTGGAAACTCTCTAACTTCATTTTGGTGAGCTATAAATTAATGCCTCCACTTTTTAAATTAGGGGCAAGAAATATAATTTTACAGCAATTTAAAGCATGGATAAAATCTATATTTTAGAATTAAAATAGTAACTTTGTTGCTTTATACTTTGCTCTCAACCATGGCACTCAGAAAACCACATACTTGAATATAACACAAAGGATGCTCCAATATATTCAGCCAGTGCAGGGCGCTACATGCATGGAGAGGAATCTGACCTCAAAGGAATTGTGTGCCAGAGTTACAATTTTTGAGACTACAACTTAAACACACAAAGGGAAAAAATTTTGGTATCGCACCTTGAGCGCCCAAACTCACCTATTCAAAGAATGTTTGTTAAAATTGTTGTTTTTTCACCTTTTCCTACAGCACCACACCCAGGCATCACTTTTTGCAATTCCCCTCACAGAATCCCAGCAGGGGTCAGGCTGGAAGGGTGATCCCAGAGCCCGGGGCACAGGATTGTGTTTAGATGGCTCTGGAATACCCAGTGTGGGAGACTCCACAGCTCCTCTGGGCAGCCTGTTCCAGTGCACGGTCACTGCACACTAAAGAAGTTCTCCCTCACGTTCAGGTGGAAATTCCGTGCCTCAGTTTCTGCCCATTGCCTCATCTCCTGTTGCTGGAGCAGAGCCTTGTCCATGCTCTTGCCACCCCCAGTTTTTGAGAGTACAGACACAAAAGTGGAAGAATTTTTGCCATCTCACTTCTCAGCTATTCAAAGAAGGTTTCTTAACCTTTTTCTTTTTCTTTTTTGCCTGTTTTGCTGCACACCCGGCCATTGCCCCCCTGCCCTCAGAAGCCCCGCCCCGGCGCCGCGGGCCGCCGGCAGGGGGCGCTCTCCGCTCGCACGGGAGCCCGGCGGGGCCGTTCCAGAAACTTCCGGAAGCGGCGGGGCGGAAGCGGCGGCGCGCGCTGGCGGCACTTCCTGTTTGCGGCCGCTGCCGTTGGTGCCGGCGGGAGCGGCGGGCGGGGAGCGGCGGCCGCGCTGCGGAGCCACCGGCGGGTGAGCGCGGGGACCTCGGCCCGGGGCTGCCCGGCCGCGGCCGTGCGGCGGGCGGAGGGCGGCGGGGAGCGGCCGCTTGGCCGGGCCGCGGTGCCGGGCAGCGGCGTGCCTGGTAGCGGGGCCTGCTGGCGGCGGTGGAGCGGCCGCGGGTGCCGCGGCGGCTCTGCTCGGCCTTGGCGGGGCTCGGGGGTCGCTGGGAGCTCGGGGAGGGAGCGGCTGGCCAGGGCTGCCCCCGGCGGGACAAACCTCGGGACGTTCGGTGCCAGCCCGCTCTGCCGCAAGGCAGAAAAAAAATTCCGGATTCCCATTCCTTGCTCACAGGGGTGTCAACTCCCAGGGGATGAGGGCGAGCCTCGTTTCGTTAAACACACCTTGTCCTTAAAGCGCTTTTTGTCGCAGGGTGCTGCCTGGGCGGCTTGCGAGCGTTGCGGCCTCCTTTTTTCTGCCAGTCCCTGAAAGGAGATGGCGATGAGCTGCGGGCCGTGCCTGCAGACAGAGAGAGGATCAGTGGAAATGGCCTTAAGATGAGACGGCGTGATTCAGATTAGATAGTGTAAAAAATACTTCACATTTAGGGTGGCCAGCCATTGGAATAGGTTGCCTAGGGTGGTGGTGGAGTCGGCAGCTTTGGAAGTGTTCGGGAGCGGCTGGATGTGGCGCGGGGCGGGTTTGTGGTTAAGGGACGCAGTGGCGGTGTTGGGGGTGTTTGCCCTGGGTGATCTCAGTGGCGGTGTTGGGGGTGTTTGCCCTGGGTGATCTC